TTTATTGTAAAGATATATTAACAGAACCTTGCAAGTCTGAACATGGTTCCTCCTTCCCTCCTTTTATCTTCATGAGAACTAGGAAGGACCTTGTGTGAGATGTTTTCTCAGGTTACATTTCTGCCCTGGGCTTTAGCCCTCTTTTATCTGAATGTTGTCTTGGTAGCCTGCCCTTCAAGACCATTGCCTCTGCCCTCTACAGATTTGTAGTGCAAAGCATCCAGAAGGCCTGCAGTTTCTACTCCTGATCAAGGTAGAGGATTTCATATTCCATCAGACTAAAGTGTCTCCCATAGTGAGTTTGTCAGATAGGAAGCTTATAAACCCTTTCTAACTCCCTGGGTTGTTTCTTTTTGCTTTCTTTGATGGTAAGCCTAGAGACAATACTCATTATAAAGTACTGTGCTACTAAGTTAAACCCTGCCTTTCAGGCTGCTCTTTTGCTCAGCATAAAGCATTTATGCTTCATGATGAAGTGGGCTTTGTCAAAGGAGTTGTGCTCCTCACATCATTTCTAGACTCTTTGAGTATAAATCTTATGACATTCCTTCTGCAGATTTTAATTAACTTCTGTTGATTTTTTCTTCCTCGGGCATTTGCTAGATTCCTTGGTCTAGCTCTCTTCTTGCCCTCAGTTAGTCCACCTCCCGACATGACTCCGGCCTTAAGCCTCCTGACTTGATCCATCTGACAGGTGGTTCCTTCAGACAGACCTCCTTTTGGCTCCACAGCCGGATTAGTATTTCCTTGGGAGTTTTGTTCTTTGCTCTTACTGTTTCATTGCTTGGGAGGTGCCCTTGCATCTGCCATCCTCTTAGAATGAGCTCTCCCCCCGCACAGCTGTTAGCCTGAGGAACAAGCCTCTCTTTCTTTGATATCCATCCTGGGTAAGCGACATACTACAGTCCTACTGCTGTAATCTCCTTGCCCCCATTGGTGGAATTTTGATTTCCTCTCTCTTCCCCAGTCCTTATTTTGCAGGGGGAATTGACCTTGCCTGCACCCACTTTCCCAGCTGAATTCTGTGAGCCGTTTCCACAATCACTAAAGCACTAATAAAGTTTCTCTCCTTCTCAGAGCCTTGCTGTGACTTCTAAATATATGGAAGGCAGTTAAGTCACAGACACACTCCTTTCCCATAGCATCCCTTTGTGATGTGCTTGAGCTGTGTGGCTAGGTTGATATTATCGGATTCTGCTTTTAAGGTACTGTACAAAGCTCCATTTTGTGATAGTCCAACTGGATACATGTATTTATATTTTGTTTTGTTTAATCTTACCTGGCTCATGCTCCAATTAAGACTAAAAGTCAGTTTTACAAAAGCAGAGTTTCACAATTATACATCATTTTCTCTGATACCTCCCCCCTCTTGTAAAACGAAGAGGTAAATCTATATTTGAATTAAACTCCAGATTGAAACCAGTGCTGAAAGTATACAGTTCTTCCCCAATTATTCTCTTTTGTATTTTCATTAGTGTAATTTTATCTTACCAAGATAGTAATCTTTCTTGGTAAATAGGATCGTGCATCTTAAGGAGTTTAAACTAGGTAGACAGTTCAGTATTAAATGAGGGTAAATAAACTGCTGAGAACTGATCTCCTACACTAATGGGATTAGTTTTTCTGCAGGCCAGGTTCATCACAAGTGCCTGGGGTTTAATTCAACTTTAGACCTTTTATAGGGCATGCATGGAGAACAGAGAAGGAGTGATAAATAGAGAGGTCTGAAGTGGTCCCAGTGGATCTGTTTAAATGTAAACAGAGACTCATGAGGTCAAGTATGCAATTTGTTCCTTCATGTAATCATGCTTCTAAAGTATATTTTGAGCAAGAGATGCTGATGATCATATTCAACATAATAATTAAATGAACAAAAACATACAGGACTTTTCTAAGCTTTCAGTCAAAAGATTGATAAGTCCCTCATACTACTTGTTGGCCTACAGTTGCAATTCTAAACATGCGTATCAAAGAGTCAACTTTTTCAGACTCAGCAGAATTAATTTAGGAGTAAAACATATTCAGTGCTGCACTGGAAAGGGAGCTATATCTAATCTGACATAAATCAAATCTGGTTGGAATAGAAAATAGAGAACCACTGCTTTTCCTTTTTAATGCAAGACAACTATTCATTCTGGTTCATTCTATTAAGATACAGATTGTAAGTTTAATTCTGTTGCTAGCTTCCTAGGAATTTATATTGGAATTGATATTTATTTGCTGGTTTATTGCATTTATATCCCACCACAATCAAACAACACTTGGTGGTTTGTATTTCAAATGGTAATACTTTAAGAAGAATGAGAAGACTAATAATTCCTTCAAGACTGCATTTTTACCAGTACATGAAAACATGTTGGATATTCATAAATGTTGGATATTCATAGGCACAAAGTAAATATATGCTTAATCTCAGAAGATGGCAATGGCAAATTACTTCTGTACTGTTGTCAAAACAACTTAAATGATCATATTGATAAAGTCAAGGGAGTCAAACTCAGCTCAAGGGAGACTTTCCTATACTTATACTATAAATACATGCATCAGGGATCTGGGATTTGCCTTAGCTCTGTCCCATGTTTGCATGTGGCAACTCCCATTTTTCTTGCATATGAAATGACCAGTAGAAGAATTTAATTTTTTTGTGCTTTTGTTCCCTATAACAAAAATTATGATGTATGTTTGCATCTGATGAACCTATGCAATAGAACTGAGCGACAGAGAACCAATATATGTCCTTCATTTGAGCAGGTGGCAGCTGCTAGAGGATCTAGAAGTTAAGCAGGGTCAATCTTGGTTAGTATTTGCGTAGCTACCTCCAGAGAATCCCGGGGCTGTTAGGCTGGACCTGGAAGTTGAAAAAAACATTCTGGTAGAAGGTAATGGCAAGCCACTTTCATACTGCTGCCAAGAAGACTACATGGATGTCTCTGTGGTGTCCTTAGGAGTTAAGCTTGACCTGCGTCTTCCAGACCAGCATTAGATTCTAGCATCAGTACTAGTGCAATATAAACAAGTAGCTCTGGCGATTGGCCCTGCCATTGTTCAAGCCCAAATATATGGGGGTTATATGGCTACTTATGGCTGCTTGTGCTCCATTCTTACTTGAAGGTCATGGGTAAATGGGGAATGGCTAGTGGTGCTGAATTTGAAAATTAAAGGATCCCAGCCATTGTAGCAGTTTACCCTTCCATTACTCAGGGAGATGAACAGGATTCGTTTGCTTTGGAAATAACCAGTATGCTTATGCGCTTGCATGTGTGTTTATAACCCTAGCCCAATGTTTTTATTCCTTGCTTCCAGGGTTTTCTGGATGCTGCTATAGTGCTAATAATAGCAGAGTGACAGCTGCTGTGTGAGGATAAAAACAATCCTAGACACAATTCTGCCACCCTCTTTTCTTTTTGTAGCTTCCTTGTAGACCAAACCAGAAGAGCATTGAAGCAAAATATAATCTGACCTGCAAAGATACGTTCTACAATCGAGCATATTTGGAAATGTTTTGATCTGAGTGCCTGACTGACTCAGCCATGTGCAAATAACACTCGGTAAAGTTTGCTGTCCCCTGGGATGCCCAGAGATGTCTTGGTTGGCTGCTTTGTTCTGCAGGGATTTTTCTTTCAGGGTTGCTTGACTCTGTCATACTTCTGCTTTCTGAAGCCTTTGCCTTTGTCTAAGTTACTCTCCTTCTGGCTAATTTTGTTTTATTGATCTAAGATGAGATACATGATTGCAGTGGGAGGAGAAGAACCTGAGCGTGGAGCAATAAAGATTTCCAAAAATAATGTTGAGGCAGTTGTGAAAACTCTCTTTCAGATAAGCATTAGATAAATGGGCATCTTCTTACTATTCAAGTTTCCAGAATTAAGTGTTTATTGATTCTTTTTCTGTTTTCGCACTGTCTACATATACAGCTAAATCTAATCCAAAGACTGCTCTGGTTACCAACATTCCTGTTGGTTTAATTTTTCTTTTTTTAAAAAAGAATTTATTCAAGAAAACAGAATATAACACATATATATTTAAAAATAGGGTTTTAGAATATGGACAACAATGCTGTGTCTAAATAAGTCAGGCTGTAATTCTTAGTTTTGCATAGTATACACCATCCATTATCTGACTCAGCCAGAAAAGAGAGTTACGTGCATTCTTTATCTGAGCAAGCTTGGCCTTTCAAGTAGAGGAAAAAATTCTTTCAAGGGTGACTCTTTTACAGTGAATTACAGTCCCAAATTAATGAAAGATCTGTCTGTAGAATATTTGGAATGAACAGTGGACTGTTAACTGACAGTGTAATAATTGAAGATGATCTTGGAAAGAGAAACTGGATTTTAGAAGTTGCACTAATATAGTGACTTAAGGTTGACCAAAAGTATTGACCAAACTAGGAACGCTTTAGTCTAGGAAACCAGTATTTAGGTTTGCAAGAGTGAATCTTGGAACTTAAGCCCATAGTACAGTAATATGGCCCTTTTAAGGAGTAGTATGACTATGAATTTGATACTGCTTAATTTTCCATATTAGATGGGAATTAGAAAGATACAAATATTGTCATAGATACTTCTGAATGTATATAGTTACATCCATGCATACAGCCACAAATTCATGCAACTATGGGTAGCATTTCAGTATTTCTTTAAAACCTTTTGAGAGCAAACAGGCATTTCAGCTTAGACATATACAGGGTTGTCTACTGAGTCTGTGTATAGTTTAAAGCTCTTCCTTCAAATTGATTCCATGGTAGCAATATATTATTTTTCCCAGCAATAAATGCAATGTATTTTTTGCACTTGAGAATGACCTTCCCCCAGGTAGCATATCCATCATCATTACTGTGCAATTACCTTGGGAACATAGTGATATAAAAAGGATTTTTTAAAAAAACTTTCTATAGCGCTATGAATATGTGGCTGTTTTTGAGACCCTACAGACAGTGTTTTTTTCTTCTATGTTCTGCATACATCACACAAGCTAAAACTGATGTGGTTCTTGTTTTACAGGCTGTCTGTGCAGTTGCCTTGCTATGTCGGAAGACTCTGGTACTGAAGGTCTGAGCTCAACTTCTTTGGTGGACTTCATAACAATGTCCCACTTTAAGTCTCTGGATTCCAGTGATCAGACCAACTTAGAGTTATCTGAGCCTGATTTTGGTCCTGGTGCCCTGCAAGTCTCACCTGGTTCAGGCTTTTTCAGTGAGGAAAAGGAAGACTCCAAGGTCCTTCAGTCTCAGTATTTATGGGAGGAAGGTGGGGACAGCAATGATTCCAGTTTGTATATGGGGCCAGCATCAGGTAATCACCTTTTGACTATTTTCTTCCTGTTTTTATTAGATTTTTTTGTAAACCAAAAAAAAGTAGGGCTTGGGGTTTGTAAACAGCTTTCCAATTCATGGATTGTTGGATTAGAGGGAAATTAGGAAATTTCATATGGGAAGTTTTTAGCTTTATCACTAGGGCGGACAACATGCAAACCAATACCATATGCAAAAGATAATGGTGTTAAAATAATGGTGGTAATAATAATGGTATTGAAAGCCTCTGAGAAGTCAGAATCAACTGAGTTGCGCTTTCCCAATCTTTCTGTTAGAAAAGATCATCCCACATAGTAACCAAGTCTGTTTCAGTGCCAAAACCCAGTCTAAAATCTGACAGACATGAATCTAAAACTCCATTTCATTTAAGGATGCCTGGAGCTGATCAGCTTTCAAGTGGAACATAGTTTAGGAAAGTTATTTTAGGTACTGTCCTGCAGTTATTATGTAAATCTTTTGGGTGTAATTATGGTTTTCTCAGGACTGGTCTCATTATGAATTCCTTTGTTGAGTTTGGGAGCATTCCTTCTTGTAAGGAGGAATTTATAACTAAATCCAGCTGATCTAATCCCTTCTTACTTGTTGTAATAAACCCTTAGGAGCAAGTGTTGAACAGATGCTTATCTACATCATCAAACCTTATAAACTGAAATTCATTCAAAAGAATCCAACCAGATTGTTCCCTGCACTGATCAACTGACCTATTAAAACTGTAGAATCTAAGTAATTATAAATACTTAGTGATCTACTGAGGATTCTGCTAAATTTCCTGTTAAACTAGATCCCAAGAAATCTGAACCATTTGGAAAAACTGCCGGATAACTCAGTAACTTAAGATGACCCAATGAGAAAGATGAAAAGTGGCTTTTTTTGTCTCCAGTGTCACTCCAGAATTGGCTTGATAATGAGCTCTTGCTAGTATTAAATCACCTCCACCTGTGTTTCAGTCATCATCCATCTTTCTTCCTCGGTCTCAATTTGAATATGTATCAGAAGGTTGAGTGGACTCTGCAAAGTGGGCAGTGATGCTTGGGAGCCATCATGTTGACCACCTCTGTATTTAGAGTAACCAGTGTTTCAGCAGGAGTGTCCCTCTCCAGGACTATCTGGAATGCATTAGTCTCCAAAGGCAGACCCTCCCAATAGTTCCTGTCTCATCTCTATAGAAGAAAATTGCTTATGCAGGTTTAAGTCAAAACTAAAGAGCAAAAACCAAAAAGCACAGGCAGGTATTCATGCCAGGCTGGTAAGAAGTTGGGAAGGATCTGTGGTTGTCCTGTGAAATCCTAAGCTATTTTAACCAGGGCAGTTTTGGCCTGTATGTTGAAGTCTCCCAGAACCAGCAGTTTAGGGAGTCTTCAACTGTAAGAGTGTTGCCATCAGTCCAGGTAGGAAGACGCCTGAGTAACAAGCTGAGCAAGACATCTTTAGAATCCCAGACAAGTGGTCCTCAGTGCTTATTATAGGCTACAAACAGAAAGAAAATGAATTCCTGTAGACTTCAGCAATTCTCCCTCCCCAACCACTTGATGTGTCTCAATGCCAAGTTGAGCTTATCCCATTATCCGCAGCCCATACTAATAGATATGATAAAGTTATGTGTGTGGAGAAAGGTAAATTAATTTATGCAGCCCATTCTTTGGATTAAAAAATGCTTTTTTAAAAAAGGAAGTTGCAACCAGGAAACAAATTTTTAAAATCTTTAGTAAAAATAAGTGATATAACCACAGCATGAATGAATGAAAGATAGCAATTCTATGCCAGATGCCAAGCAGTGTAAATAATCTTAGCATGGCTGAGTTGGAAAGAACGTGGGTGCTAGATGGAGGTTTTGAAAGAAGAATAACCTTGTTGCACCAGGCCAAGGACCATCCTCCTCCAGCCTTCGTTTCTCACAATGGCCAACCAGATTATTCTGTTCACAAGCAGGAATTGGAGATGTAACCCTCTTCCGCCACTGTTCCCCTGGATGCTACTCCCAACTCAGAGGTAACAACGCATCTTCCAAACTAATACCCCTTGACAGATCTCTCCTTTATTAATTTATTTAATCCCCTTTTAAAGCCATCGTCGTTTTTGACAGTGAATTCCACATATTAACTATGAAAGTTGTCACTGAAGACAATAGAGTTGCATTAAAGGAACTAAAGCTGTGGAAGCTGTTTTGTTATGACTAACATTTGAAGGAAAAGACAACATTGCCTGTATATGCTATATTAATTAAATTAAGTAGACATTTATAACTTTTTTCAAGTCTAAGCATTCTGATAATCAAGGGGTTGAGCAAATTCACTCTAATGTCACCTTCCTTGAATTGACAGCATCCTGAATGTAACTACTTGGGCGAAAGTTCTCTTGTTCAGTGAAGTTAATTCTTGAATGAGTAAGCAGACTTCAAGATCTCCTAAAATGTACTTTTGCAAAAAAAAAAAAAAAAAGTTGTATATTCAAATTTTGCCCAGTAATATTTACATGACAGTCCTATATACTTCCTGTGTTTTGGAGGACAAATTCTTATGCATCCTATGGATCCTTAAATGCTTCTTTAAGGACTATAAGATTACATCTTCAGTTAATTTAATTTAATCTATTCATTGATTATACAAAAATAATCAGCATAAATTCAGCTACATTAGGTAGAAAATAATGAACTTGAGTATTCTTCCTTTTTTCATTCACAGAATCTTACACATTTGTATCAATTAATATTCTTCTGACTATTATTAAATACATATTTCCTTATAATCAGACACCAGGGCATTATATTAAATATATTTATTTATAGTGTTAGGCTCCAAAGATGGCTGCAGTTTAAAGGAGATAATATTTGCTTTGTTTCTGCCTGATTTTTCCTCTTGGTTTTAATGTATTTATGTAAAAATAACCAGTAGTAGTAGTATATGTGGTACTGTTCTTGGGTTTCTAAGAATGGGATCCTTTTTTTTCAAAAAGATTGTTGACTGAAATCCTCCAGCCAGCTTTACATCTTGGAAGGCTGGTAAGTAACATAGGATAACTGTGAGGTAGCTTTTCAATTTCAGGCATTCTAATGTACAGTGGAACCTCGGGTTACGAATTTAATTCGTTCCGTGACTCTGGTCGCACCCCGAATTGGTCGCACCCCGAAT